AAAAAAAAAAAAAAAAAAAAAAAAAGAACAACAAGAAGAAAAAATTACAGGAAAAAAACAACAGTAAAGATATGGTGAATTAAATTGATCGATATTTGATCGGTCTTTCACTTACAGTAATATTTGACAACCTCTTTAATACACGTATCGCATTTCACTTCACAACACCAAATAAACTTACAATTACACTGTTCTTTAACCAATTTCTTTATCACAATCCAACCTCGACCACAACACAGTCTGAAATAAATAAAATTCTGGTTTCAAGTAAACGAAGAAAAGGCAGTAGGCTCTTGAAAACTACAGTTAGCAATACATAACTTCCTCAAAAGCTTTATCATCCCCTAAAGCTTTTTTTAACCAAAGATTAACAAGCAAAGAAGCAATACCAGTAACTTCAGCAGTAATAAATCAGCACAATTCCATCAAATAACATCTCAGTTTACAAGTGCCTTGAAGTACTCTTCAATGGCCATGTTTTTCAAGCTATATTGCAGCTATAAATCATGTAATGAGACAGAAATTTAGAGCTGCAGAAATTGTAGGTTTAGTAACGAAAAAGGAAGATTGCAATATAAAAATTGACTTACATATCACATTTTAGACCACATTCTCGACCTCTTGGTCCAAGAACATCATTAGCCAAATCTTCCTTACAGTAGTCTGGTGACTCGTCTAAAAACACCAATTCATTACGGGCAGCTGCTCGTCGCGGTTCTCGAAGATATCGCCCAATACGTCCCGTTTTTTCCACTCGTAAAACTAAAGACTTTCCTTCTGGAGCAGCACTCACCTGGCATAGCAAACATTTATTCACTCCGTTTACAAGATTACAGTAAACCTTTGACATCTTTCAAAGGACAAAAAGAGGATAAATATTTGGCAAAAACTGTGAAAACTGACACCAATCGCTAAATGAGACAAAAAATTCTGAAGAAAGAAATTTACTTTGGCTGCATGAAAATATTTCTTTTTCAGAATAGCAGCAAAACGGTCCAATGGTGGGACAACTTTCCAACAGGTTTTTGTAACGCAGGATCCGCTTACTCCATGACATTTGCATTCTTTCTTTAGATTGTTGGACAAAATTTTACGTCCCACTCTGCTGTTGTGAAGGTTCATCAGGGATCTGAAGTTAAAAGAGAGCTTAATGGCCAAAATGTGCAAAGAAGGCGAGATCTGTACAGAGGCATCTTCCCGTTTGTGTGAATACTGTTATGACACTGTTAAAGACCATAATAAACTAGTCCATTTTTTGTCCATTTTTTACATACAAAGAACAGAAATTGTCATTTGAGATATAAAAGTTTACCGTGCATCATGGGAATGAGGTTGGTCAACAGCATCCATAAACCGTCTACCAAAAGTATTTGCATATCTGACATTGTCAGAACAACCCGCCCAGACGAAATCTTTTGTTGGTTGCGACTGAACTGGTTTCTGCCCACAACCGCAGTCCGGAACCGCACCTTTAGCACAAGCTCGAGCGATAGCGTGACTCACAGCTCCAGAGGATAACGCAAAAACATATGCGGTTTCACGACTAGCTGCTGTAAAAAAAAAAAAGGACAAAAAAACAGTTGTTGGGCAATCACAAATTTATTGTAGTCTTCAGAGTAACTCACAAGGAAGAAAAGAAGGAATTATGGTTGGGCAATGATAGAACAAGCGAGGAGAAAAATTTAGAAAAAAAGTGTAGAAGCGTTAACCATAATTTACAAAAAAAAAAGAACCTTCACAAAAACTTTGTAATTAAGCCATAAAAACTGAAATGTATTGAAATTCTTTTCTTCGGTTATGAAACACTGATTCTTTTTCGTTTAGGTGACGACGATAAATTAGTTGTTTGTTTAGTGACAGAAAAAGCCGTCAGTTCAGGCGAAGAGAGCAAAATTAAACATTTCAAAAAATTTCTCTTCCACCATTAATAAAAGTACCAGTATGTCGATAATGAACAAAAAAAAATGAAAAACTTTCTCACTGCTGTTTTCCCATACCAATGGTGCTATTTCAAGAGAAGAAATATGTATACTGTTCAGATAAACAGCTTCCCAAACAGTTCCATCGAATCTGTTGTCGTTGTTAAAAATAAAGCTAACAACTGTGCAGGAAAACCGGTAAAATGTCAATCCTAATTTTTTTTAGTTGGTTAGATCTCTTAGCTGGTACAGTAGAATTACAGAAAGGGGAATAGCTGAGCAAGTTTGCGGTAACATGTCAAAAAGTTTTATAAGGTTATATAATCACCAAAAAAACGAACACTCCCTCTACTCTCAATTAACTTTTCATAGATCGATTTCCATGAATACTGGCCATTCGCCTGTCCAGCCGTTGAGTTTTTGCACCAAAAACGTCATTTGTCCAATAATTGAAAACAGCACCACCGATACAGTCAATAGCAGTACTGCCAACAACAAAATATCCAACAAAAAAACAAAAATAAAAAAAAAGAAAGAAAAAACCGATGAATTATTAGCTAAAATAAAATGATAAGACAACTTAGTTTTAGAACTAACAAATAAATCACTGTAAAAAAAAACCAAATTATTGCTTCCCATTTTGTTTGTTCATC